TCACACAAAGAATGAAAAGTGTCAGGCATATTCCTCCATAACCTAACTAACTTGAGCACACCACTCCCAGTGCTTTACAAACCCCCTGATGACCGTTCTTACAGCATTCGAAAGCTTGACAGGTTAAAGGGAGAGAAAGAAAGAAATATTGCATTATTCAGTGTCGAGAAAATGTGTTAGTCATCAAGATCATCATTGTATTTCTTACTGAAGCTTAAATCCTGCTTTTTGCTTTGTTTTGTACACTTTCAAACCTTCCTGTCTGTGTCAAATTTACAAAAGTATGATCAAGTTATTATATGTATCTTATATGTTGAAGTACTGTGTTCACTATTTTACCTGTTGTACTGAAAACATCACAGTGACTTATTCTGTTGGCAAGACTAGCCAGCTGTAATTTCATGGCCAAGTCATTTGCTCTTTCTTAACAAAGAGAGGTATTCTTTATATCTACAAACAATTAACCTGATTTCTTTTACTCTCTTTACATCATATTCAGGCAATAAATGTTCTTACAACAGTACTTATGAGTGCTATATCTCCTTATGTAGAAGGGTACTTCTGACAACCAGTTTATAGCTTAATGATTGCCAATTCCATGGCCATATCAAATAATTTTATTAATTCTCAATGAACTGTGAAGTGTGAAAATTATGTGATGTTGTCAATAACAGAAAGAAAGTAATGATTATAAAGATGGTAACAATGATGCCAATTACAATTAGCCAGTTTGTTAAAATGATGTGAGGCCCAACCCAATAAACTATCAAATATACAGGCATGCATATAGACACTAATAGATACATATCTATCAGTCTAGACATGCATATCTACCCAGATAATCAGACATATAAATGTATATCTGACTTATAGATAGACAAATATGCATTTTTTTCTGTGTATATGCACGTCAGTATTTCTGAATATTCATTGGGTCAGACCTCACATAATTTTAACAAACAGGCCAAATGAAGATTATAACATGAATAATAATGATTACTATATGGAATATGAACTTTCTTAAATATTACCTCTATACCAATAAAATATGGGACAGCTACTACAGTAACAATATATCAAATGATTTTAGACGTCTGACTGAATTGTCTACTTCTCAGAATTAAGAATTTTCATCATTCTTAATGCATAAAATGGCTAGAAACATTTGTGCTGAACCCCATAGCACTTAAGGACCCTCAGTCACATCTACATAAACGATAAAAAATAGCGGCACTTAGCAAAAAATATCAATATAAGATTCTCCATGTTAACTCAAGGAACTAAAATAAGGTTTCCACCTTAAAAAATATACATACATGTTAAATGGGACAAGTTATGTGATTACTGCCCATTCCAAACAATTCTTCTTATAAAATCTGAAATGAGCAGAAGCACAAACACATCGAAACACACATACATATTACTAAGTTCAGTCATATGGTATAAAGACAAATACAATGGAGACAAGAAGATGATTCTTGTATGAACTTAAATCTAGATTATACTGCAATCAATCTTTCTTCAACCAAGGGTGGTTAAGATATAAGGAAATTACAAATATATGTACAGGATTATACTTGAGTGCAGTGGAATATATAAAGCACGCATTGTGAAATGATATGGAACAACACTGAAGCCAATCTAAACTTAGTTTTGGACAGAAAACACAGCAACTAACAACACTGAAGCAAATCTAAACTTAGTTTTGGACAGAAAACAGCAACAACTCATAACAAGGAAGAAACTTTAATGAAAACTCAAGCTAGGCAACAAACAAATCATATGTATGCCATCACCCACAGGTACTTGGAATTAAGGGTACCATGACATATTTTCTACTCTTTAAAAAATTTTAAAACTTTTTAACCCATCAACCATGGAATTACCTTTTTGGCTAGTGGCCACCCAGACAGGATTGCTGGCATTGATTGGCAGTTCCCCCATTTGCCCCTGGCTCATTTGGTAGTTTGCAGACAACATTAAGTATCTAAAAGCTTATATTTTGTTATCCTTTTAAAAACTTTTGAAAAGTGAAGATTTAACTTCATTTTACATGCCAGTGCCATAAAGTTGGACTATGCAATTGTCGTTGTGTCGTTAGGTCCACAAGGATGGATGCCAAATGTGCTGGTTTGGGTAACAATTTAAATAGGTTTTAAAACATTTTTAACAATCTAAATGTGACATTAACTTAATTAGTGTCAAGGTATAATTATCACTTTCAGCACAAAATATGGATCAAATAAAAATGTCTTTTTATGTTTGCTCCACAATTTTACAGAAACTTCCACTTCATTCTTCTAGATTATATGGTTGAGTTGTAACTATGGAACACAATATATTAAATTGCATAACCACCCATTACAAGTTTTCTTAGCAGTCTAGTATTCATAACATTTATAGAACACACAGTAATGCTCACTGAAATACGAAGACCTGCGCACATGAATAGCATAAAATTAGAAGAATAGGAATGGAAAGAAAAGACGAGTGTGAAGTCTGTCATTAATTCCCACTGAACATGGTAGTTAATTACAAAATAAAGAAAAAATAAAGACCTGCTGTTGACATATGGGGGATACCAAAAAACATACTACCTGGTAGTGTATATGCCATCTACAGCTGAAAGGCTTATGTATACAATTTAATTAGCAATGGCCACAACATTAGTACTGATCCCATAAAAAGCAAGACATTAGAGACACTGAATATTAACACTTATTATCTGAACAAAGCAGCAGTAACATCTATGTACAAAACTAATTATAACAGACCTTTTCAAAAGGATTACTAGTACCTGGAACATATATATATCAGGGTAGTTTAACTGCTAGAGGTGGACAAGACGATGAACAGTAGGTTGCATAAGAAGCAGATAAAGTAATATCCAGTTAATGCTTTCTCTGTTACAAAAGAAAGAAAATAATGAGTGGAAACTTTCAGTGGATCTTTTTTTTTTTTAATATACTTTTTATTCAAAATACAAAGGTGTCTTTGTTTATCTGTCTATTCATCTCTCATCCTAGTTTATACTTTCTTATTGCCAGTCATTACCATTTCCAACAGCTTTCTTCTTTTTATCTGCCCAATGCAATCTCAACAAAAAGGATATAATAATCATCATGAATAATACCAACAGCAAATAATGCCAAGGCCTAAGCACCTAAGCAACACTACAACGAAAGCTGCATTTATTGTATTCAATTCAGATGATATCACTCTTATCTTTCCACAGGAAGCTTTAGATTAGGAAAAAGAGACACAACACAACACAAGCAGCAATATATAAACCCCCATAGCAGTTAACTGAGTTTAAATTTTATCTTCCTAGAAGGAAATACCTTCACACAAAATGCAGAGAAAATTTTTTAATTGGGATATGTCACGAGTAAACTTGCCCAATGTGACTTCTGGTCCTTAAGTGTTTTTTCGTTTTTTCATTATCAATACATTACCTGCCTCGATCAATATTCATTTTGCCTAAAACAGACAACTAAATTTGCATCTAAGAGTACAGGGTTGGCTGCACATCTATCTGTGCATATGCAGGTGTGTGAGTTTATGAGTGTATGTACATATGTGTGCATGTCTACTTTTGTGCCTATGTATAAGCATGTGTGAGTATGCAGTACAGTAGCCATAAATCGAAAAAAAAGTACAAACAGAAAGGCTACCAACCTTGTGTGTACTCTGCAGTGCCATCTAAAGGATCTACCCAAACTACAACCTGCAGAAGAAATAGATTTCATTGCCTTTTGTGATATGGAGAAACTGATAGGAAGAAAAAAGAAATCAATCACGCTTAAATAATCCCTTTGGCAGCATTGACAACAAGGACAAACCCAAAGAAATTCTAAATAAATTAATAAATCAATTAATAAACAGACAAATAACTGAAAGAATATACAAAAAAATAAATACAAAAAGTTAACATTCAGAGGCCCCCCATGCTGAGAACAAACAGCTGCACCAACCTCCTCTTCTGCCATAGACGACAAGTGAGGTGGGCATGTGACATCAACCAACGATGTAGTCGACGGATCAAAAATACTTCCACTAGCTACCGTCGTCTCATCTTCTCCTTCCTCACCTATGGAAAAATAAATTTTCTTTATATGCAATATTTAAAATAAAAATACATAAACAAAAATTATTGTTTGCAAAAAAATATCTGATGAGAGTACTATTGTATAAGGAGGATCATTTGAAATTTCTAAGAAAAAAGCAAGAATATATGATCACATTTAGTTATCATCAATATATGATGAACTAAATGTTTTTCCTATAAAGCTCAAGAGTATATGCTTCCTCAATTTTTTTATGTAAATAAAACAGCATCTTGCTCAACTGCTATAACTGCTATTCTCATTCTGCCAATATAAGAATAAGGTAAAATTTCAACAATTTTTAAATATCAGTACAGAGGTCTCATACACAATAAAATATATGACATACTAGCAACAGATATATAAAAATTCATAAGACATTTTTCCAAAACTTTTAGTACTATAAGATGAACCAACAATCAGTTTACAGACATACCAATTATGGTTATCTTTGGGAAGCATTTATTAAGAGAACTAATGATGCATCGTTGGGCAGCACGATCAGCTTCTGTCTGAAGATCTCGTACACTCTGTTGTGAAAAACTTTGCTTGAATTATATAGATTTCGGAATCTAAGCTATAATACTACACAATAAGTGTTTTGTAAAAATCAGTGTCATCAATACTTATCAGTCATTATAAAAATGTATATGTACATATATTTGTACATACATATATATATGGACAGACAGATAGATAGACAAATTGATAGATAGACAGAGAAACACACATGCAGACAGATAGCTTGGTTAATTCTTCACCTCTTTCTCCACAATGCCCAGGTCTCCCTTCTTCATGACTTCTCGTATAACATGCCCTGCTTGGCTTGCAATGGCAACAGATGACGACACCAGTCTTGATAAAAGGGGAGCTCCTTGTGCCAGCGACATGATT